GCGGCGCATGCTGCTGCGCCCCGCTGGGAGCCATCGCGGAAGCCCAAATGTGTACGGAATGATTCCTTCTCTCGCGGCCAGATTGGCACGCACGAACGCGCCGCTCTGAAGTACGTTCGTGCAAGACCCCCCCTACTCCTCAGGAAGAGCCCAGAACGGCTCTCCCCCTCCTCCTCCTCCTCCTCCTCCTCCTCCTCCTCCTCCTCCTCCTCCTCCTCCCTCCTCCTCCCTCCTCCTCCTCCTCCCTCCTCCTCCTCCTCCTCCACCTCCTCCTCCTCTCCCCTCCTCCTCCTCCTCCTCCTCCTCCTCCTCCTCCTCCTCCTCCTCCTCCTCCTCCTCCTCCTCCTCTCCTCCTCCTCCTCCCTCCTCCTCCCTCCTCCTCCTCCCTCCTCCTCTCCTCCTCCTTCCCTCCTCCTCCTCCTCTCCTCCTCCTCCTCCTTCCTCCTCCTCCTCCTCACCTCCTCCTCCTCCTCCTCCCTCCTCCCCCTCCTTCCTCTCCCCCTCCTCCTCCTCCGCTCCTCCTCCTCCTCCTCCTCCTCCTCCTCATCATCATCATCATCATCATCAGCATCATCAGCATCATCATCATCATCATCAGCAGCAGCAGCATCATCCGCAGAGGCAGCAGCATCATCCCCATCCTCATACTCATACTCACCATCAGCTTCATCAGCATCATCATCATCAGCATCATCATCAACATCATCGTCATCATCATCATCAGCAGCAGCATCATCATCAGCATGATCATCATCATCAGCAGCAGCATCATCATCAGCAGCAGCATCCTCATCATCATCATCATCATCATCAGCAGCAGCATCATCAGCAGCATCAGCATCAACCTCAGCATCAGCCTCATCATCAACACCATCAGCATCATCATCATCAGCATCAGCATCATCAACATCATCATCAGCAGCATCAACATCAGAATCAGCATCATCATCCTCATCGTCATCATCCGCATCACCACCATCATCATCATCAACATCATCATCACCGACAAGTGTTTCTCGAGAGTTGCACCGACTGCGATCGAGCTTCTCGTGCGCAGGCTCAGTTGGTGGCAGAGCATCATCCGATTGCCCGCGCACCATGGCCACTTTCTCGCTTCTTTTTTTGACAGATGCAAGTTCGAGCAGCAGGCGGCCATAAGCAACCGCCCCGTCAGCGCTGGCACTCTCAATTCGCAGGGTGAGATCTCCGCCGACCCGAACGTGCACCCGTGGGCCACACAGCTCGCGGACGATTTGCTGTGCCTGTCGTCTCACTCGATCGGCGAGAGCTTTCAGGAGGCGTGGCAACCTCGAGTTGTTAAAAACTTGTGGGGTAACGAGTGGGTTCGAGAGGCCTTCCTAAACTGCGACGTTCGGGCTCTCAGGGCTTCCTACTGGACGACTCAGTGGGCCCCTCCCGAGGCCAGCGTGATCACCTCCTCTCTCCCCTCGGCGGCGACGTACGACGAGACGGACACCGACGACGAGACGAACCGCCCCTTCGTGTGTAACATCGAGTCGTGCCAGAAACGGTTCGGGACGCTCAAACAGCTCGGTACACATCAAACCAAATCCAAGAGCCCCAAGAGCCTAGGACACGGTATGCCAGCGGTCTTGACTACCCTACAGATCGACAACAAATGTCTTGTGTGCCAAACTACGTTCCCAAATCAAGATCATCCAGTCCGACATTTACGACGAGCATGGCAAGCAGGTAGATGCAGTCCAGAACTTACTCATCATGTATACCCTTGGGTTCCAGCCACATGTACTACATGTCCTTTACGGGACTACGCTCTGGACCACGCATGCCAACATGAATATCACGATCAGCAAAAACTTCGAGCACACGTCTTGGGTCATCTCCCACCGTCGCCATCGGGTTCCCTGCTCAAGCCTGTTGTCAGAAGGCCTGCCACGCGCTCGGCCACTCCGAGTGCTCCCCCGTCGCGCCCCGCGCGTTCCAGCCGCCGCCTCTCGCGTGTGATCGAAGACACCCCTGCTGTACGCGTTGCCATTCGCCAGTCGGTGGATCACATCGTGGGCAGCGACCTTCGCAGCAGGCCTAGCTATCGACCACTTCGACGGCCACGAGCAGCACAGCGCTCAGCTGCAGTATCTGCAGTACCTCCGCGGCCCCTTCGAGTGGCTACCGTCTCCTCTACACCTACTCTCCCTGCGCTACCTCCTGGACTAGAGGATGACGCCCAAGCAGAGAGCGTCGTGGCGACTCCCGCTGGACTCCTCCCAGGGCTCGAAGGGCTCTGTCAACGCCTCCAGCGCCGCGCCAGGCCAGAAGGCGACAAAGGCTGCACGCCCGCCAGGCCCGCCGCTGCAGCGGCGATCGCGATCACCACGAACACCAGCCGAGGAAGGGGGAATAGCCGCGCCCATCGAGGTGGACGAGGGGGACAACGGCGAGAAGAACACGAAGACCAACCAGCCCAGCCGGCGCCCAGCTCGCCGCGGAGGACGCCGCGGACGCCGCGGCACTCACAACCCCAAGGCCTGGAGCAGCAAGGACAAGAACTTGTTAGATCTGCTTCGGTCGACCCTGAAGCTGCTGCTCCAGACGACGCACAAAACCAGGCTGAACTGCAGCATCAACACGGACACCTACACGATGAGCAGCGAGCACCCAGTGATCATGGCCATCACGCAAGAGCTCGAGGGCTACAAGCACTCCTTGGACTCCCTCAGGAAGAGCGGCACCCCAGAGGACAAGAAACGCCTGCAGGAGATAGGGTCGCCAGCTCCGTCCCTCGCGCTCGCGGCCTTGGAGGGATTGCTCAAGTGCGACGTGGGCGGCACCATGAAGGGTGCCATTCAGAACTACTTGCTCCGAGCGGAGCCCGAGGACATGGAGGCAGAGGCGGAGATCAGCAAGGAAGATCTTCTCGACGTCATCTCCTTCGTGCGCCTGGAGAAGTGCTACGACGACACCAAGACGAAGCTGGTGATAGGCGCGCCCTCGTGGGAGGGCCGAGTCTTGATCAGCCGCGCCCTGGACGCCGAGGGCCAAGCGGTCCACCACAGAGGCGTGGCCCCAGCGGGCTGGCTGGGGGAGGAGGTCGGCCACTGGCTGGAGACGCTCGAACAGTGAATCCTGGAAACGGGGCGGCCCCGTCTTGTTTCCAGAACGAGCCTGCTAGGCAATGCAATGCAGCGACTAGCAGAGATGATACCGTCCAGCGCCGTGTTAATTTTGTTCGAGGCGAAGGCCTCCCTGCCAGAAGCAGCACGGTCACTGTTACGTATCCTCCCTCCTCCGTTGAGCCTCCACCTCATCCTCATGCCGTGCCAGCGCATGCGGAGGAGTTCTACGAGGTGGAGGCCCCACCAGAGTTCGACACAATCGCCGAAGATGAAGCAGCCGAATATCTTTCCAGCTAGCACCAGTTGACGTTGCTTGGCACGCGCTGCGCAGGAGGCCCCTCTGCGCAGCACCCTGGCAGCCTGGCCCACGCGGGGCACTTCGAGACATTTGGCTCTCTGCGACGGACCTCCAAGTTCAGATCCACTCTACGCCATTTACTGTATCGGATGTTGGTCCTGACGTCGAGGAAAAAAATCATCAACATCATCAGCATCGTCATCTGCATCTGCATCAGCATCAGCATCAACATCCGCATTATCAGCAGCATCATCGTCATCAGCATCAGCATCAGCATCAGCATCAGCTTCATCATCATCATCATCATCATCATCATCATCATCATCATCATCATCATCATCATCATCAACATCAATATCAGCACCATCATCATCATCATCATCATCATCAACAGCAGCAACATCAGCTTCAGCAGCATCATAATCAGCAGCATCATCATCGTCATCAACAGCATCATCATCATCAGCATCATCATCATCAGCAGCATCACCATCAGCATCATCATCATCATCATCATCATCATCATCAAGATCATCAATCATCACATCATAATCATCATTCATCATCATCGTCATCATCATCATCATCAGCATCATCATCATCATCATCATCACATCATCATCATCATCATCATCATCATCATCACATCATCACCTCCTCCTCCTCCTCCTCCTCCCCTCCTCCTCCCTCCCTCCCTCGCTCCCTCCCTCGCTCCCTCCCTCCTCCGCCTCCTCCTCCTCCTTCCTTCCTCCTCCTCCTGCTCCTGCTCCTGCCTCCTCGCCTGCTCCTCCTCGTGCTCCTGCTCCTGCTCCTCCTCCTCCTCCTCCTCTTCCTCCTCCTCCCCCTCCTCCTGGTGCCTCCTCCTCCTGCTCCTGCTCCCTGCTCCTGCTCCTCCCTCCTCCTCTCCTCCTCCTCCTCCTCCTCCTCCTCCTCCTCGTCCTTCTCCTTCTCCTCCTCCTCCTCCTCCTCCTCCTCCTCCTCCTCCTCCTCCTCCTCCTCCCCGTCAATGTCGGTGAACGTTTGCGGAGGCTTAGGAAGACGTCTGCTGACCTGCCACTGGTCGGTGTGGACGCAAAACTACCCCCGGGAAGGGGTCGGCGAAGCAGGCCGCAAGGCTTTCGCGACCGTCAGCGTCGGTAAACGTTTACGGAGGGTTAGGAATCTAAACATGATCGCGTCGCAAAAAAAATCAGGACGACAAGTGTGTCGCTAGTTTCGGCCCTCGGGAGCCCTTGCCGGTCCCCGGGAGCGTCAAAAAATAACTCAGGATGAAAAACTGGCCCTTTGGAAGGGGTCTGCCCCCCGGGAAGGGGTCCTGAACAAAATCAGGACATCGCATGTCTGGGAAGACGTCTGCTGACCTGCCACTGGTCGGTGTGGGCGCAAAACTGCCCCCAGGGAAGGGGTCGGGACCGCCGGAGCCGCGGATGAAAGAGTCAGATTGGAGCATGTCCAAAACAGGGGACATGTCGACCCCTATCCTGGGCTTCGTGGGATTCTCGAGTGGACCAAAAATGTTAACCCAAACTTGAGCTATACGATGGGGTGCGTGCATCCTCGACAGGCGTGCGTCCGGGTGCATGGTCGGCGAACCCCCCCAAGGGGGCCTGCTTCACGGCGGGCTGGAAGTAGCTGGTCCCCGTTGCGGCGTCCAGGGCGAACGCTCCCAGATCACCCCAGGCGCAGACCTCTGGCTGGGTAGGCAGCAGATCTGGTTCGTTCCATGCCCTCCCCAACAAAAAATCTGGAAGGAGCAGTATAGGGAGAGAAGGACGAGGAGTAGGAGACAAGCGTTGCGGGAGAGTCCGTGTCAAGGACGAGGAGGAGGAACAGGAGGAGGAGGAGGAGGAGAACGGGAAGAGGAGCAGGAGTAGAGCGACGGCTGCGGGAACGAAGACAGGCGACGACCAGGTCGCGCGTGGTGGGAAAGGGCGAGCCGATGCCACCACCGCAGGACCAGGGGGGGAGCAGGAGGGCGGAGGAGTGTGGAGGGAGAGGGGACGGGGAGGAAGAGGAGCAGGAAGGAGAGGAGGGTGGAGGAGGGCGGAGGAGGAGCAGGAGAGGGGGTGGTTCTCTATATCCCTCTGCGAAGGGTGCAGCCCTGGGCCTTAGGATGCCCATTGCCGGGAGGGAGGAGGGGCGGGACAGAGAGGACGAAAGGGCGAAGAGGGGGACGGATACGAGGCGGAGCGGGGAGGAATCTGCTCCTCCTTCTCCTCCTCCTCTTCCTCCTCCTCCTCCTCCTCCCCCTCCTCATCCTCCTCCTCCTCCTCCTCATTCCTCCTCCTTCTCCTCCTTCCTCCTCCTCCTCCTCCTCTACTTTTTCCTCCTCTCCTCCTCTTCCGCCTCCTCCTCCTCTTTCTCCTCCTCCTCCTCCTCCTCCTCCTCCTCCTCCTCCTCTTTCTCATCCTCCTCCTCATCCACCTCATCCTCCTCCTTTCCTCCTCCTCCTCCTCCCTCCTCCTCCTCTCCTCCTCCTCCTCCTCCTCCTCCTCCTCCTCTTCCTTCTCCTCCTTGTTCCATAGCCCATTAGACAAACATACTCGCAGAAACAACAGCAAACCACACAAGCAGATGACAACCGAGACGCAGGGACAAGCAACCGCAAGAACATACCAGCAACATATAGCACTGCAAAGCAATACCTGGGCGGCGCGCAGAGCGCGGCCCAAGGCGGCGCCTGAGGCGTGGGGGGGCCGCGCTGAAAGCCTTGAGTTGATGTTCATGTCGTTGCTTTGCTCGCGAGGGGCAACGAGATGGGGGGATTGGCACAGGGGGGGATGTATCGACCTCGAATGGCCGATAAATCGCTCATGTATCGTCGATGGAGCGCATTTTCAATTCGCGGCGATGACGGTTGTTATGGGGAGGAGAGGGGGGGGACGGGGGGGGGGACGGGGGGGGGCATCACGTAGCGCCCCTCTGTGGTGTCGGACGCACTGCGGCAGTGCAGTGCCGGGGACGCACTGAGGGGAGGGGGGGAGCGTTACGTTATGTGGAGGAGGGGAAAGAGGGGAGGGGGCATAAAACAATATCATACATCGTCGACGCAAACCGCCCAATGCAGCGCCACACATCATCGATACCTCGCCCTGACCTCCTCCTCCTCCTCCTCCTCCTCCTCCTCCTCCTCCTCCTCCCCATCCTCTTCCTCCTCCTCCCCCCCTTCTCCTCCTTCTCCTCCTTCTCCTCCTCCTCCTCCTCGATGCATCGTCGATGCGTTGTCGATGTATCTACCACTCGAGGTCCATGCATCCCCCCTGTGCCCATCTCCCCCTATCCCAGGAAGCCCAGAGGTACCGATGCCGCTACTACCCAGACCTCTCCTGGGGTGCGTTCTGACCAGAATCTCGAGGGGATCCAACTGCTGTGGAGAACGAGCGAAGGGTAGCGGTATGGGTACCTCCTCTGATATCCCCACCCCTCGTCGCCCCCGCTGTCGGCTTCCCTGCGATCCGCCGCAGCGAAAGAAGTGCAGCATCGTCGACAACCACGCCCAGAGCCCCAAACCCATCCTGCTGCGCCGTGTCCCACGCCGCATCCATCTGCGAGGGCCCCGGGGCCCGAGGGCAAGCGGGAGCGCCCGGCGCGGAGGCACTGAGACGCCAGTCACCCACTCCGTCTTCGAGCGAGGGCCCCAGAGGCTGGCGGCGCGCACGAAGGGGGTGGAGGGAGGGGGGAGGGCTTCTTTCGGCTATACGCAAGAGTGGCCCTGGGTAGGAGTGACCTTTGGTACGCGGTTGTTTGGGGGCCGCGGGGGGACCAAACCTGGGGTGGAGGGAGGGGGAGAGCTTCTCAGAGGGAGGCTGCTTCTCAGAAGGCGCCGGCCCTGCATCTGCAGATCAGGCCCGCGCCTTCTAAGAAGCAGGGGCGCTTTTAAGAAGCCCTCCCCCCTCCCCCATCCCCCCTCCCCCCTCCCCCCTCCTGCGCGCGGCTGAGCCCCGGAGGTCCGGACCACTTCCCTAGGACCAGTTTTTCGTCCTGAGTCTTTTTGACGGCCCCAGGGCCCAGCGAGGCCCCCTGGAGGCTGAAAACAAACCCAAACCGCCCGCTCAAATTTTGGTTGGATGAGGGGCAACGATAGGGGGGGACTGACATAGGGGGGATGCATCGACCTGGAATCGGCGATACATCTTCGAGAGATCGGCGATAGGCCTCGGACAACGAATCCGCACCTTCCTGGGCAGGTTGGGGCCAACGGGCCCCTATCGGCGATACATGGGCGAGTGGGGGGCGATGCGTCCCCCCCTATGCCGATCCCCCCGGATCGTTGCTCCTGTTAGGACTGGTTTTTCGTCCTGGTTGTTGGTTTTTCGTCCTGGTTTAGGCCCCTCGTCGATTTTGTTGATGGTCCTAGGGCCCAGCGAGGGCCCCTGGAGGCCGAAGACAGCCCCAAGCCGCCCGCTCAGATTTTGGCTGGAGCGTCGCTTCCCTCGGCGTCGTCCTCGAGCGTTGAGCAGGGACCGACCGTCCCGGCATTCCTGTAGGCCTACCACGACATGTTCTGAGAGCCCTAAAATAATTCAATAACACAAAACATGGTTCTTAGAACAGAAACCCGACGTGTTCAAACAAGGCAGTCTCAGCCAGATTTTTGTTCTGAGAACCTGTCGTGCACCAAAAGGTTCTCAGAACATTCTTTGGTGGGCCTATGGGCGAGCCATGACGCTTCGCCACTGCTTGATGAGCGAGGACCCACAGCCCGGCGGCGCCCGGCGCCCGGCCGCGCAGGGCGCTGAGGCAGCGCGGCGCGAGCTGCTGCCGCTGCTCCTCGGGGGGGAGAGAAATACACACAAATCCCCTCTCCTCCTCCTCCGCCTCCTCCGCCTCCTCCTCCTCCTCCTCCTCCTCCCCCTCCTCCCCCTCCTCCATCTCATCCTCCTCCCTCCTCCTCCTCCTCCTCCTCCTCCTACTCCTCCTCCTCCTCCTCCTCCTCCTCCTCCTCCTCCTCCTCCTCCTCCTCCTCCTCCTCCTCCTCATGCGCCCACATGTGCCCAGGGGCGCCGGCGGTCCGTGTCCTCGGCGAGGCGTGCCCGCCCCCATGGGGGCAGCAGCACGTGGCGCGTTCCAGAAACCCTTACCCCAGAAACTAGAAAGGGGCCCAAGGACACACACAGAAGTACACACACACAAATCCCAGGATCCCCCGTATTTTTTCATGTGTTCTGGATGTTCGTCTTCCCCCCCACCACTTCCCATATTCTCCCCAATTGTCCTGGGGGTCGACTATGGCATGTGTCTGTGTGGTTTTCTCCCTCCTGAGAAAAGAAACCTCCTGGCTGGGGCCCTGGCTGTCCTACATGAATGCCCAAGAGTAGTAGGAAACAATCGTCTGGGGACGATGTTTAGCCTATGTTTGACTTCTATTCTTGTGTCGGTTTGGAATACTTTACATTTCTACCCCTAAATCCGCCTGTAGGAGGGCATGCCCGACCTAATTCCAGGCCTCCTAGATGGGGTCGGAGTAGATGGGGTCGGAGGATCGCGCCGCATCGCCGATGCATCAACGATGCTGCTCGATGTGGAGCCCGTGCTTCCCCACGCCGACGTCACTGATTCCTTGCCAGCGTGGCCAGTGCATCGCCGATGCATCGCCGAAACATCGGCGGTGAATTGGCGATGCGGCGCGATCCTTCGACCCCATGTACTCGGACCGAATCTACGTGGTTGACCGAAAAGGGGGTCCAGCTGAGAGGTGGTGGTGCCATAGATGTGGGGCAAGAGTATTGCAAATGTGTTGCGCCAGAGAACTGTATTGCATTGCGTTGCAGCTAGTGCACTGCACGCGAAAATCCAGCAAGATATCTACGCAGCGGAATGTGTAGATTGCACGCCCCAGATCGATTGCAACCCAACGAATCGATTGCACCAAATCTACTACACCACCTCCTTTCAGCTGGACCCCTTTTGGCTGAACAAGAATCTCCCTCCACCTCCTATCTTCCGCACCTTCCGCGCAGCAGGTGCCGCCGCGGCGCGGCTGTGGCGACCGCCGAGACCGCCGCTGCGGCCTCGTCGGCGGCCGCCTCTGCGGCCGCACTGGCGGCGGCCGCTGCGCGGCACCTGCCGCCCGGAAGGTGCGGAAAAGGTGGAGGTCGAGGGAAGGCATCCGAGAGCCTCCGAGGGTCCCTGTAGCCCCCGAAAGCATCCCGAGAGCCTCCGAGGGCATCCCGAGAGCCTCAGGGGGCCCCCGAGGGCCCCCGAAGGCATCCCGAAAGCCCCCGAGAGACCCTGCAGCCCCGGGGTCCTCTCGAGGGCCTCCGAGGGCCCTCGGAGGGAGGAAGAGCAGATGCAGCCGAGCACACGATAAAGCCCAGCGTCCCGAGCGCCTCGTGGCCGAAGCCTGGGCCAAGTGCTGCTGATCCCGCGGGAGGGACGCAGGGGCTCAAGGAGCTGGGCCAGCTTTCTCTGGCAGGGTGGCTGGGAGACCCTGGCCCAGCTGTTCGGGAGGAGGAGGAGGAGGAGGAGGAGGAGGAGGAGGAGCAGGAGGGGGAGGAGGAGGAGGAGGGGGAGGAGGAGGAGGAGGAGGAGGAGGAGGAGCAGGAGGAGGAGGGGGAGGAGGAGGAGGGGGAGGAGGTTCCTTGATCGCAGGCTCGACTGTACAGAAACAGCGGATCTCTGGCCCCGCCTACCTGAGGGCGCCTCCAGCGCCCTCCCTATCCCAGAACTCGGCGCAAAGAGTCAAAGGTTCATGTGTATACTGCTTTGCTCATCTTCGATGGAAGGCCTTCAGAGGCCGCGGGCGTCGTGGTCGTGGTCGTGGTCGTGGTCGTGGTCGTGGTCGTGGTCGTGGTCGTGGTCGTGGTCGTGGTCGTGGTCGTGGTCGTCGTCGTCGTCGTCGTCGCCGCCGCCGTCGTCGTCGTCGTCGTCGTCGATGTCGTCGCCGTCGTCGTCGTTGTCGTCGTCGTGGTCGTTGTCGTCGTCGTGGTCGTTGTCGTCGTCGTGGCCGTCGTGTCGTCGTCGTCGTCGTCGTCGTCGTCGTCGTCGTCGTCGCCGTCGTCGTCGTCGTCGTCGTCGTCGCCGCCGTCGTCGTCGTCGTCGTCGGGAGTGATGGAGGTATTCGGACGGATGGCTTTCGGACGGTTCCAAGGGCTCGGGTGGTTACCAAACGTCCCTGAGCTATGCAATTACTTGTTGGGCGGATCCAACCTTGGGAGCGGCCAGGGGGGTGTCCAAGAGGGGGGGGTGCAAATCATGACTGGCGGCATGTGCGCGGCCCAGCGGGGGGGGGCCAGGGACGTAATGAACTAAGAAGAGGCGCCATAAAATCTTAGGAAATATCATGGGCCCCCGCCATGATATTTCCCCCCCCCCCCCAGTCATCACCCCCCTCTTTTCCGCCCCCGACAATCGTTCCCTGGGGGGGTCACCGGTGTCGGCGGCTTTCGGACGAGCTGCGATGCCTCCTCGCCTCGGGGTGCGCGCCAACGGCTCTGCCGCTCTGCCTCCTCGCCGAGAGCGCTCCGGGGATGCCAGGCTCGTCCCGAGCGGCCGCCGGGGACAGGACGGATGGCCCGAAAGCACAAACATGAAGGGCAACGCCAAGGTTAAGTCGGGCGTGTCCCCCATACACAGCGGTTTTCGACGAACAATTAAAAATACCCCCAAAATACCCGAACATGGTCAAAAAATACACCAAAAGTAGTCCCCTGACTATTTGTGGACTATTGTTTGACTATTTTGGGTGTAGTTTTATACGTTTCGTTGAAAATCCCCCTGTAGGGGGAGGCCCGACTTAACGATAAGGGGGGGGGATGGGATCACGGGGAACGCCATCGAACCCCCAAGCGCCCCTTCGTCGCCGGATGGGGGACCGACAAAAAGCGCACCCCGCCCAGGAACGTGCGGTTCGCTGTCGGGGGCCGGGCGGTGTCCCCGTACAGGCGGAGCTTGGACGAGAAATGCAAAACAGTCAAAGCATACCCCCAGAATGCTCAACAGTGGTGAAAAAATAGTCCCCCGACTATTTTGTACTATTTTTGTATAAATTCCCTCTGTAGAGGGACAGGCCCGACTTAAGCTTACCTATCGTCGCCACCGCCGCCGCCGTCGCCTTGGAGGTCCGAGGCTCGGGGGGCGGGGAGGTTTTTGCGCTGGCGCTCTCGGCCCTCTTCAAGGCCTCCAGGGTCGGCGCGCCCAGATGGCCACGGCAGGCTCCATCTCAAGTTTCTGGCCAAACCCGATCCAGGAAGTACAGGTCGTCTTCATCGTCGTCGTTGTCGTCGTCGTCGTTCGAGGGAGGCAGGCAGGGTGGGGAGTTTCCCGGCGTCGCCGTCGGCTCGAGGTTCTGGTCGGAACGCGGTCCAGGACGGGTCGTCGTCGTCGTCGTCGCCGTCGCCGTCGCCGTCGCCGTCGCCGTCGCCGTCGCCGTCGCCGTCGCCGTCGCCGTCGCCGTCGCCGTCGCCGTCGTCGTCGTCGTCGTCGTCGTCGTCGTCGTCGTCGTCGTCGTCGTCGTCGTCGTCGTCGTCGTCGTCGTACGGTTCGGATCGACTTCGGATCGCCCTGGATCGAATATATCGGATCGCCGAAGCCAGCCCTGGCTGGCCCCGGCCCGATGCCGGCGACTCGAGTCGGGAATCGCGGCCCAAGCCGGCGAATCGAATGGCATCGGATCGAAGGCGGCCCTGAGGGGTCCACGGGGGAGATCCTCTGAAACCCTTCCATACAGGCTCACAGATGGGTTGCTGCAGCCCGTCTCCTCGCGAAGGAGGGCGTGGCTGTGGCACCGCAGACTTTCAGTGGGCGCTGATCCCCGGAGCTCCTCCGTGCGTTGTCTTTTCTCGGCGGGCTCCGTGACCGACCCATCAGCAAGGAGCTCATCCTCGTGGGCCTTGATCCACTCCGACGAAAAGAATGCGTGGGTGCACGTCCCCAGCAACGCCACGACGCCGCTGACGTCCATGCCTCCAGGCAGCAGGGGCGATATCTGAAAAAAGTGCTGTTCAGACTCTGGGGCGCCCCCAGACTCTGGGGGTTGGGGGTTGCTCCGACTTTGTCTCTCGTTGTCCGACTGTGTCTCCTCGCTCATACCCCCTGCCTCCTTCTCCTGGTCCTCCTCCCTGTTTCTCTTCCTACTCCCTCTTCGCCTGCTTTTCCCAGTCCTTCTCTTCCTATTCCTCCTTTTCCTCCTCCTCCTCCTCCTCCTCAACCTCCTCCTCCTCCTCCTCCTCGCCCCCAGTGCGCCCAGGAGGCTTTCAAGATGGCCCCATGACGGCCCAGGAGGCCCCAAAGACGGCCCAAAGAGGCCTCTAAGACGCCCAATATGGCCTCCAATACGGCCCTGAAGCGCCTCAAGAGGACCCCACATCGGTTCAGAGAGGCCCCCAAGACGGCTTCCGACGGCGTCAGACCCGTCAGACGGGCTAGGAACGATTTAAGACTGCCAAGGAGAGGCCCCCAAGACGCCCCCACGGCCCCCAAGAGGCCTAAGGAGGCCCCCAAGAGGCTTCCGAGAGGCCCCCCGGGAAGCCCCCAGGAGGCCCCACAAGAGTGCCCCAAGAGGCTCCCAAGAGGCTTCCTCCTCCTCCTCCTCCTCCTCTCCTCCTCCTTGTCATCCTCTTCCTCCCTCTCCTGATCCTCCCCCTCAGCCTCCCCCAAGCGTTCCCCGAAGAGTTTCCGGAGCGGCTGGGGGAATACATAATCAGATAGCTTGGCCAAGCTGGGGCCCAACGTTTGGCCACATAGGCGCTTCTCAAAAAGGCTGGGGGCGGCGGTGATTCGCCGTAGGCGTCTTGGATCCGCCGCCCCCTGTGCTTGCCACAGGGTTGGACGGCGTGCCAGACATTTTGCTGAGATTCTGATTTTCAAACCCTTCCCAGTGGCCTTCGGCCCAGACCGCCTGCCCCTCGGAAGGACCAGAAGGTGTGGCCCACATCGCCACCAAGAAGGCCCAAACGGCCCAATATGGTCACCAAGATGCCTCCAAGGCGGCTAGGATCGCTCCAAGAGAGCCCAAGACGGCTCCAATATGTCTCCAAGACGGCCCAAGATGCACCCGAGGCGTCCAAGATGGCCCCAAGATGGCCCAGGACGGCCCCAAAGGCCCCCAGGAGGCTTTTAATGCAGTCCAAGAAGCCTCCAAAGGGATCTGCAGGAAGGCCCGAAGAGGCCAAGACAGCTGATTTCCCGTGGGCTCTTTTTTTTTTCTTTCCAGTCGGCTGCCATTGGGCAGTATACCTTGCCAAACTGGTCCACTTGAGTTTGTGCTTAGCGATTGGAGCATGGAAGAGCAGAGAAACGTGCCATCCCACCCTACGCTTGGGCTCCGCAGCTGCCGCAAAAGCGGTTTCCGGGCTGCAATGCCTGGCCACAGTCGCAGCAGAAGCACTTGCCAATGACGTTCGTCAAACGGGGGGGGCCACTGCACCGGGCTCTGGGTCTTCATGACAAGGCTGCAGTTCCAGGGTGGGCCACCTTGTTTGGGTGCACTCTCTTCCATGTGGATCATGAGCGGCGAACCCTTGGAGTCCACCCACGCCCCCAGTTGGGGCGGGAGATAGTCGAAGGTCCTGGTGTAGGTCAGCTTGTTGTTACTCGTCCGCGCGACCAACTCCTTTAGCTCTCTGTCCAAGCGGGCCACATGGTTCCTCCAGTTAAGGTAAGGGCAGAATATAATGCCAAAGGTGAGACAGCACAAGCAATTCGCAATGGTTTTCTCATTCTCAGTCTCGCCGTTGGCGTCGATATACTTTTTGACCTCAGCTGTGGTCGCCTCATAGTCCTCCCGAGACAGGCCTTGATGCGCCATCCAATCCTCGTAGGGAGGGAATCTTTGCATGCCCATGAAGGTCTCACCGAAAGCGACGTAGATCTCGGTCGTTTTCAATGGGTTCTGGTAGATGCGGTTGGCATGCTCCATTGCTTCCGCCCACACACAAGCCTTGCCGCTACTGCGGCCCCAAGCGAACAAATCAGGGGAAACCTCTCTTTGAGGGAAACGGCTTGAGCCAAAATGGCTACGGACTGATTTCCCGTGGGCTCTTGATGGATTTTGACGTTTTCGGCCTGCCGACGGCCCAATGCCGCCGAAGAGACCCCCAAGATGGCCCCAAGAGCGCCCAAGAGGCCTCCAAGACGGCCCCATGACGGCCTCCAGACGGTCCAAGAGGCCCCCAAGGCGCCTCCAAGACGGCCCACGAGAATTCCAAGGCGCCCACGATGGCCTTCAAGACGGCTCCAAAACGTCCAAGATGGCAACGATACGATTCGACATAGCCCCAGGATGTCCCAAGACAGCCACAGAGGGCCCCAAGGGCCCCAAGGGGATGCAAGGGGCCTCCTAGACAGTCTAGGAAGTCTTCAAGAGGACCTCCAGGAGAGCCCGAAATGCCCAAATGGTTGTATGTATTCCCTTCAATTGTTGAATAATTTGGGCGCGTTTTCTTGTTCGGCTGTCCGACGGCCCAAGATGTCCACAAGATGGTCCCAAGACGGCCCAAGCTGACTTCAAGATGGCCCCAAAAGGGCCCCAAAGGGCGAGGAAACAGTCCAAGAGGAAGAGCAAGAGGAAAGGACGGAATCAGAGGCCCGAAGCGGCTCCGAGAAGCCTGCAGCTCAGCGCGGGCTCGTCTGCGGACGCCCTTGCCCCCCCCAGGAAAAACATATCACCCCGAGGCCCGGTGATGTTTTGTGGGGCCGCCATCTCAAAGCCCCACGGCCAGCTTTTGGGTCGAGGACGAGGAGGTGATCAACAGGAACCAGAGGAGCAGGAGCAGCAGGAGGACGAGGAGTTTGAGCAAGGGGTCAGGGACGGAATGATAGGCCAGAAGCGGCTCCGCCATCGTCGTGGTCGTCGTCGTCGTCGTCGTCGTCGTCGTCGTCGTCGTCGTCGTCGTCGTCGTCGTCGTCGTCGTCGTCGTCGTCGTCGTCGTCGTCGTCGTCGTCGTCATCGTCGTCGTCGTTGTAGTCGCCGTCCATAAGATGGCCCCGAGAGGGCCCTAAGAGGGCCCCAAGAGAGCCCCAAGAGGGCTCCGAGAGGGCCCCAAGAGGGCCCCAGGAGTTGTGCAACAACCCAGCGGCCGCTGGTACATAACTCCTGGGGCCCTCTTGGGGCCCTTTGAGGGCCCTCTTGGAGCCCTCCTGGGCCCCTGGTTGGCCCATGAGAGGGCTCCAAGAGGGCCCTAAGAGGGCCCCAAGAGGGCCCCAAAAGGGCCCCAAGAGGGCCCCAAGAGGGCGCCAAGAGGGCCCCAAGAAGGCCCCAGGAATTATGTACCAATCCAGCGGCCGCTGGTACAGAACTCCTGAACCCTCTTGGGACCCTCTGAGGGCCCTCTCGGAGCCCTCTCGGACCCCTGGTTGGCCCTGTAGGGCCCCAAGAGGGCCCCAAGAGGGCCCCAAGAGGGCCCCAAGGGCCCCAAGAGGGCGCCAAGAGGGCGCCAAGAGGGCTCCAAGAAGGCCCCAGGAATTATGTACCAACCCAGCGGCCGGTGGTACAGAACTCCTGGGGCCCTCCTCCTCCTCCTCGGCGACGACGACGACGAGGAGGTGTAAACGCACCCTTACCCAGCCCCTGCAGGACCAGGCAGCGATACTTGGACCAAATTTCCTGGCCCCTGTTTCGACCCCAGAGCTCTCGACCCCGTCCAGGAGCTCCCGACCCCAACCCGGAGCTTTCGGCCCCATCCTGGAGCTCTCGACCCGCAGACGACGGCGACGACGACGACGACGACGACGCCTCGACCTGGAGTGGTAAGTTTTGCTGCTGCTTTTCCCCAGGGGTTTGGAGCCCTCGGGGCCCAGGGGGGCCCCGAAACGGATCCGAAGCCTCAAATTTTTCCGGCCCGCGACCGACGACCGGCGACAACGACGACGACGACGACGACGACGGCATAAGTTATTTGGCGCCCCCCCTTGGGAGCATCGGGTAACTGGGGGGTGCGCTCCACACCCCCCACTTACCCGGTGTCCCCCAGGGGACATCGGGTAACTCGACCTTGCAGGGGGGGGTGTTAGGCACGGGTTACCCGGTGGCGAGGGGGGGGCATCGGGTAACTCGACTTTGCACGGGGGGGAGTCGGGCATGAGTTACCCGGTGTCCCCTGGGGGACATCGGGTAAGCGGGGGGTGCGCTCCACACCCCCCACTTACCCGGTGTCCCCCGAGGGGCGTCGAGTAAGTCGACCTTGCAAGGGGCGCATTCGGCATTATTCAGTAAACCGGTGGACCCCCATGGGACATCGGAGTTACCCGGTGGTCCCCGTGGGACATCGGCCCGTGGGACATCGGAGTTACCCGGTGTCCCCCGGGGGACATCGGGTAACTCGACATTGCAAGGGGGGTCTGGGCATGGTTACCCGGTGGCCTCCCGTGGGACATCGGAGTTACCCGGTGTCCCCCGTGGGACATCGGAGTTACCCGGTGGTCCCCGTGGGACATCGGCCCGTGGGACATCGGAGTTACCCGGTGTCCCCCGTGGGACATCGGAGTTACCCGGTGGTCCCCGTGGGACATCGGCCCGTGGGACATCGGAGTTACCCGGTGTCCCCCGTGGGACATCGGAATTACCCGGTGGTCCCCGTGGGACATCGGCCCGTGGGACATCGGAGTTACCCGGTGTCCCCCGGGGGACATCGGGTAACTCGACCTTGCAAGGGGGGGTCTGGGCACGATTTACCTGGTGCCCCCCCGTGGGACATCGGAGTTACCCGGTGTCCCCGTGGGACATCGGAGTTACCCGGTGGTCCCCGTGGGACATCGGCCCGTGGGACATCGGAGTTACCCGGTGTCCCCCGTGGGACGTCGGAATTACCCGGTGGTCCCCGTGGGACATCGGCCCGTGGGACATCGGAGTTACCCGGTATCCCCCGTGGGACATCGGAGTTACCCGGTGGTCCCCGTGGGACATCGGCCCATAAGATGGCTCCAAGGGGTCCCTAAGACTGGGCTGGTACATAACTCCTAGGGCCCTGTGGGGCCCTCTGAGTGCCCTCTTGGAGCCCTCTTGGGCCCCTGGTTGGCCCTAGGAGGGCCCCAAGAAGGCCCCAGGAATTATGTACCAATCCAGCGGCCGCTGGTACATAATTCCTGGGGCCCTCTTGGGGCCCTCTGAGGGCCCTCTTGGAGCCCTCTTGGGCCCCTGGTTGGCCCTAAGAGGGCCCCAAGAAGGCCCCAGGAATTATGTACCAACCCAGCGGCCGCTGGTACATCACTCTTGGGGCCCTCTTGGGGCCCTCTTGAGGGCCCTCTTGGAGCCCTCTTGGGGCCCGGGTTGGCCCTAAGAGGGCCCCAAGAGGGCCCCAAGAGGGCTCCAAGAGGGCCCCAGGAATTATGTACCAACCCAGCGGCCGCTGGTACATAACTCCTGAACCCTCTTGGGGACCTCTTGGAGCCCTCTTGGGCTCCTTGTTGGCCCACATGATGGCTCCAAGAAGGCCCTAAGAGGGCCCCCAAACGGGCCCAAGAGGGGCCCAAGAGAGGCCTCAGAAACCGCTAGCAGGTGTCATCGATCAGCGCGTCTGGATGAGACCTCTCAGTGGTCTCTGGGGCGCGTCTTGGAGCCCTCTTGGGGCCCTCTGGAGCCCCCTGGGTGCTCCCAAAAAGGTTCCAAGGGACATCCGAAGGGGTGGAGGGGGAGTTGGACGGGGAGTGGAGGGGGAGGTGGAGGGGGGGCTGAGGTGGGTGGTGGAGGGGGGGGTGGAGGGGGGGCGGGGGGGTTGGTGGAGGGGGAAGGGAGAGGGAGAGGGAGAGGGGTTTGATTAGGAAACTGGAAGAGGTTTGACGACCACGACGACGACGACGATGACGACGACGACGATGACGGCGACAACCACGATGACGAGTGGGCGCTTTGGAGTTCTCGTGGGCCGTCTTGGAGGCGCCTTGGGGGCCTTTTGGACCGTCTGGAGGCCGTCGTGGGGCCGTCTTGGAGGCCTCTTGGGCGCTCTTGGGGCCATCTTGGGGGTCTCTTCGGCGGCACTGGGCCGTCGGCAGGCCGAAAACGTTAAAATCCATCAAGAGTCCACGGGAAATCAGCTGTCTTGGCCTCTTCGGGCCTTCCTGCAGGTCCCCTTGGAGGCTTCTTGGACTGCATTTAAAGCCTCTTGGGGGCCTTTGGGGCCGTCCTGGGCCATCTTGGGGCCATCTTGGAACGCCTCGGTTGCATCTTGGGCCGTCTTGGAAACATATTGGGGCCGTCTTGGGCTCTCTTGGAGCGATCCTAGCCGCCTTGGAGGCATCTTGGTGGCCATCTTGGGCCATTTGGGCCGTCTTAGTGGCGATGTGGCCACACCTTCTGGTCCTTCCGAGGGCAGGCGGTCTGGGCCGAAGGCCACTGGGAAGGGTTTGAAAATAAGAAGAGCAGCAAAATGTCTGGCACGCCGTCCACCCCTGTGGCAAGCACAGGGGGCGGCGGATCCAAGACGCCTACGGCGAATCACCGCCGCCCCCAGCCTTTTTGAGAAGCGCCTATGTGGCCAAACGTTGGGCCCCAGCTTGGCCAAGCTATCTGATTATGTATTCCCCCAGCCGCTCCGGAAACTCTTCGGGGAACACTTGGGGGAGGCTGAGGGGGAGGATCAGGAGAGGGAGGAGGAAGAGGAGGAGGAGGAGGAGGAGGCCTCTTGGGAGCCTCTTTGGGCACTCTTGTGGGGCCTCCTGGAGGCTTCCCGGGGGCCTCTTGGAAGCCTCTTGGGGGCCTCCTTAGGCCTCTTGGGGGCCGTGGGGGCGTCTTGGGGGCCTCTCCTTGGCCGTCTTGAAGCGTTCCTGGCCCGTCTGACGTGTCTGACGCCGTCGGAAGCCATCTTGGGGGCCTCTTTGAACCGATGTGGGGTCCTCTTGAGGCGCTTCAGGGCCGTCTTGGAGGCCATCTTGGGCGTCTTAGAGGCCTCTTGGGGAGGAGGAGGGGGAGGAGGAGGAGGAGGAGGAGGAGGAGGAGGAGGAGGAAGAGGAAGAGGAAAAGGAGGGGGAGGGGGAGGAGGAGGAGGAGGAGGAGCAGGAGGAGGAGGAGGAGGAGGAGGTTGAGGAGGAGGAGGAGGAGGAGGAGGAACAGGAGGAAGAGGAAGAAAAGGACCTGGAAAAGCAGGCGAAGAGGGAGTAGGAAGAGAAACAGGGAGGAGGACCAGGAGAAGGAGGCAGGGGGTATGAGCGAGGAGACACAGTCGGACAGCGAGAGACAAAGTCGGAGCAACCCCAAACCCCCAGAGTCTGGGGGCGCCCAAGAGTCTGAGCAGCACCTTTTTCAGATGATGAGGGATCAGTCGCGAACGTTTTAGAGCAAGGTCGGCTGCGTGTGCACCGACTCTGCAGCAGCTTCCCTCGGACGGAGGCCCGGTTGAATTCACAATGTTGGTGGAACTCCCTGGCCCGAAGATATGAAAAACAGCTACATACACCTTGCGGATTCCTTGGATCGGTGTTGGACCCCCTCCCTGGCGCGCCAGTGCAAGAACTCCGCGCGGACCTCCGGAAGTTACTGCTTACATAGTAATCGTTTTTGTTGATTTGGCGTTTCGACATTGGGTGGAAGGGGGGGGGAGGGGGGGGGGTCTGGCTCCAGACCTCTGCTCAGCGCCACGGTTTGCAACAGTGCGCCCCCTGGGGGAGAAGCTCCACCTGCTCGAGACCGGCGCCAACAAAAACAGCCAAGATCTACTCTAGGAGGCGGGGCGGAGGGCGGGGGCGAGGGCCCGCGCCGATCGGCAAAATAATGCAAAAAAAGCTCACTGCAGTGGGGGCTCGGCCACAAGAAACCTCTGCATGAAACCCAAGCCTAAGATCCGCGATTCGTTCAGTGAACATCCAAATCTGTCGATCGCAAACCGTCACGATCGCATTGGGGGCCCATCGAAATCCAAGAAAACCCGGGCGCCCTGGCAAAATCCGGCTGGTTCCCTGGCACAAGCCCCCACTGTATCGTTGTTGCTTGATCCTCGATCGCTTCGACCTCCCTGCCTGCCTGGCTTCTCGACCTCCACGGAGAGCGGCAGGGCTCGGTCGCCGGTCACGGAGCGCCAGGCCTCGGGGCGGACCGGCAGCCCGTGCAGCAGCTACATTCAAGTCGGGCGTGTCTCCTTACAAGGGGAGCTTCGACGACAAACAAAACAATATGGAAAAAATTATCCAAAATGGTCAAAATGTGCTCTAACAATAGTCCCCAGACTGTTTTCTTGCTATGTTTGAACATTCTCCCTGTAGGGCGACTTAAAGCTACGCACATGCTGACTAGGACCACGCGCGCGCTTCGCGCGCGCTTAGGTTCTAGCCTCCTTCTCCCTGTTCGCTTTCGCCCTCGTCTTCGTCCTCGTCCTCCTCGTCGTCGTCGTCCTGGAGCAAGCTTGGTTGTCTCGGGGGCCTCCTGGGAGCATCCGGGAGCTTTTTCTGGGAGGCGTCGCGAGGCCGCCGGGAGCCCCAGCACCCCCATGCTGACCCTCTCCCAGAGCCCGGAGACGCGGTTCCATGTATATATATATAACAAAGAAATAATAATACAAAAAATGATAATACGATTAAGAATACTAATAATACTAATAAGAAGAATAACAATAATAATAATAGTAATAGTACTAATAAATACTAATACGAATAATAAGAATAATGAAACGTATAAGCAATCATAATAATAATCTTTTTTTTTTTTTTTTTTTAAAAAAAAAAAAAAAAAAAAAAAAAAAAAAAAAAAAAAAAAAAAAAAAAAAAAAAAAAAAAAAAAAAAAAAAAAAAAAAAACTTACGATCGCACGATCGAAACAGGGCCACAATAACGTGGGTCAATATTACCACAGCGACATCGTCGAATAGCGGCAAGTGTGTAAGAGTCGGGTCGAGGAGTGGGAGATCACACGGCCATGTACACCTAGTCTACTTCTACGAGCTTGTTTGTTATTGCTCGGACCCGTAACGCCCGTTACGGGGGTGGGTCCCCCCCCCCCTCCCCGTAACGGTAACGAGCGTACGGGGACGCGGGTGCGGACCCCCCCTCCGTCCAGGCAGGCATGCTGTGACGCTCACATGTGTGCTCAGGTTCGAGGTTCAAGGGCGCTGTGGTGCACCCGCCTGTCATGATGTGCTCAGCCGCCGTGGTGCACACACATACCATTTCTGCCGCAGTTGTCGTGTACAAAGGCATCGCGGTGTACAGAGCCAGTGTAGTGCGCACAGGCACGGTCGGCTTCGACGACGACGACAGCGGCGACGACGACGACGACGACGAAGCCTACCGTGCCGACAGTTGTGCTGGTAATAAGTACCAGGGCCCGTGCGAGGGCCCCGCCGCGCGTTACCGTTACCCCCAACTTGGGGCCGGACCCCCCCCCGTAACGGGCGTTACCCCCCCCAATAAAAAAACAAGCTCACGAGGGATAGTGGCCGTCTGGACAAAAAATGTAGCCAGTGTTGAAGCGAAGGTACGATTGATGCATGATCCTCCGACCGAGGCTGAATGGTGTGGACGCAGCAACGCCAACAGGGAAATCTCTGTGGGTATCGGTTCGCGTCGCGTGCGGGCGAGACGAAGCTGCGCGAGAGCGACGACGTGTCGGCCAAAGCTGGGGGCACGTCGGGCAAAAAGCTCTGGTCCCTCCGTTGCCGCATGGACGGTGTACAGAATGTGCCAGACTCGAACGAGCCAGGCAGGCTTCCGTGAGCAGCAACCCAGGACCCTGGGCAACGGTACAGAAGCAGGTGCCCAGAAGCTGTGCGACCGACCCCACACCGAGGCGGGCACCTATCCACGACCACCGCCTGGGGGATCGATCGTCGTGGACCTCGGCAGGCCACGGATGTGGGTGGCTGTATTTCGGGCCCGGGCCGAAATCTATCCATGTCCGTCTCTCCACATCCCGCTGTGACTGTGTCACGACGCGAGGGGGTCCGGGAGGCACGTCGCTTCTCACTGCTGTGCAGGGCTCTGCCGACGGAGCGGGTGCACAGATGGCCATCGGCCCGCACCCCTTTGCGCGACGCCTGGCTCACGCAATAAGGCGAGGCGAAGCGGTTCTCGGGCCGCCACCGGCTTGCGGCGGAAGCAGCCAGCGGCGCCAAAGGAAACAATGTGACCGCCCCGCAACAAGCAAAGCCGCTTAACCCAACAACTGCAGACACATCGAGAAATCACAACCTTGACAAAACAAATGCACACTGCAGAACGGCACCATGCTACTTCGATCATGGATTTGGACACGCCATATGTTGGGACTCCTTCTGCGGAAGTCATGGGAGCCTCCCATACCATCTTGTTGGCTCTTGCGACTCGACGCTAATCGACGGGAGTCGACGCCACCTCCACGCTAATCGACGCTAAATCGGCGCGATCTCATCGGTTACCAGACGCCAATCGACGCGAGTGCACTCCAAAACATGGCTTACGAGGGTATACACGGCTCACGTGGTTTGCTACCGAAATCTTCGGTTCGCGGATCGGTGAATCGGTGGCGACATTCGAGCCCTGCCCAACCAAACACGGCCTTCCCGAATCCATGGGCAGCGGGGGTATATGGGCTCGGATTCCGCCACGTGCTCGACGAATTCCGAGCCCCACCCCCGCCGCCCCCCGCGTTGCCTGAATCCTTGATCCCAGACCCCCGACGTCGTGATTGTCTTACGGCGCCGGCCCCCAGAGGTCTCGACCCCCTCCCCTCGGGAGCGGCAAAGAGGGGGGTGTCCAAGAGGGGGGGGTGCAAATCATGACCGGCGGCACGTGCGCGGCCCAGCGGGGGGGCCAGGGGCGTAATGAAACAAGAAGAGGCGCTATAAAATCTGGGGATATATCATGGCCCCCGCCATGATATCCCCCCCCTAGTCACCACCCCCCTCTTTGCCGCCCCCGGTGTCTCGCCCTATAGGCTGCGTCTTGACGCCCCCGAGGCCCTCGGCCGGGCCCCCGCGGAGGCCGACAATATGGCGAGCAGCCTCCCCCCGTGCTGCTTTTTTTGCCGTCCCCGCCGCGCGAGGGCGCGCGGCATCGGCGCTCCTCCCTCATCCTCCCTCCTCCTCCTCCTCCTCCTCCTCCTCCTCCTCCTCCTCCTCCTCCTCCTCCTCCTCCTCCTCCTCCTCCTCCTCCTCCTCCTCCTCCTCCTCCTCCCTACTCGACGTGTCTGGGCAGGCTCGCGACGCCGCCGAACAGCTGCAGCTTCCCTGACCTTCCAGAGAGCTATTGTTTAGCACGGGAGGCCTAAAAACCGAAAAAACGAAGAGAAACAGCCTAAAACCAAGACGTAGAATAGCTCTGGGATAGGTTTTTAAGTCGCGTGCTACTTTTTTGCCCTCCTGGAAGGTCAGGGGAGGCTCGCGACGCCGCCGAGCCGCTGCAGCTGCGGCTCCCCGAGGGCCCGGCCTCCGCCATGCGCGCGGTAACCTCCGGCGCCTGCCGGCACTCCAGGTGGCACCAGCACGGGCGCCCCAGCCGCGCCTCCTCCTGCGGGAGGGGCCGGAGCTCGGGGGGCCGGAGCTCGGGGCCGAAGCGCGCCCGCCGTCGGGGCTGGGCCCAGGCGCTGCCTCTCGTGTGGCTGTCCTTCTCTTTTGGGTGCATTGCATTGTCTTGCAACGAATGTCTTGCACGCGAGAATCCAGCCAAACATTTGCGCCCCGGACTGTATTGCGCGACCCAAAGGTAGTGCAACCCCGCAAGTCTATTGCACCAGATCTATTGCACCACCCCCGTGTCGCTGGACACCCTTTTGGGTCAACCCGATCTCTGTTGTTCGTTTTGCTCTGCCCGTTGTTCCTGTCCCCCCCTGCCAAAGCAAGAATTACGCTACCGAGGAACCCCACATACTTAATTTAAATATTATGTGCTTGCTTAAGTTTATCATATATGCGCAAGTCTGCGTTCTCAGCCCTCGTCGCGAATGTTCCCCTCTGTGTCATCCAACGCCATATTGCTTGAACCTCCTCCCTCTTCCTAGCCTTCTATCCTCCATCGAGGACAAATTCGAGCCAGCCAGCGGCCGCGGTGAGGGACCACCCCCTGCGCACCCTCTATAGTGTCGAGAAAGTGCCACGCCTGCTAGGCCCTGGACGACCGTCGTGCATGGCGGCCGCGGTGAGAGACCACCCCCTGCGCACCCCCTCTGGTGTCGAGAAAATGCCGCGCCTGCTATGCCCTGGACGACCGTCGTGCATAGCGGCCGCGGTGAGGGACCACCCCGGTGAGAGACCACCACCTGCGCACCCCCTCTGGTGTCGAGAAAGTGCCACGCCTGCTAAGCCCTGCGACATTGGCGCGTATATAGAGACCGCGGTGAGAGACCACCCCCGTGCGCACCCCCTCTGGTGTCGAGAAAGTGCCACGCCTGCTAGGCCCTGCGACATTGGCGCGTATAGAGACCGCGGTGAGAGACCACCCCCTGCGCACCCCCTCTGGTGTCCAGAAAGTGCCACGCCTGCTAGGCCCTGCGACATTGGCGCGTATAGGGACCGCGACGAGACCACCCCCTGCGCACCCTCTCTGGTGTCGAGGAAGTGCCACGCCTGCTAGGCCCTGCGACATTGGCGCGTATAGGGACCGCGGTGAGAGACCACCCCCTTGCGCACCCCCTGCGGTGTCGAGCAAGTGCCATGCCTGCTAGGCCCTGCGACATTGGCACGTATAGGGACCGCGGTGAGAGACCATCCCCTGCGCACCCCCTCTGGTGTCGAGAATGTGCCACGCCTGCTAGGCCCTGCGACATTGGCGCGTATATAGAGACCGCGGTGAGAGACCACCCCCGTGCGCACCCCCTCTGGTGTCGAGAAAGTGCCACGCCTGCTAGGCCCTGCGACATTGGCGCGTATAGGGGCCGCGGTGAGAGACCACCCCCTTGCGCACCCCCTGCGGTGTCCAGAAAGTGCCACGCCTGCTAGGCCTGCGAAATTGGCGCGTATAGGGACCGCGGTGAGATACCCCACCCTGCGCACCCCCTCTGGTGTCGAGAATGTGCCACGCCTGCTAGCCCTGCGACATTGGCGCGTATAGGGACCGCGGTGAGAGACCACCCCTGCGCACCCCCTCTGGTGTCGAGAAAGAAAGTGCCCCGCCTGCTAGGCCCTGCGACATTGGCACGTATAGGGACCGCGGTGAGATACGCGCACCGGTGTCGAGAATGTGCCACGCCTGCAGACATTGGCGCGTATAGGGACCGCGGTGAGAGACCACCCCCCCTGCGACATTGGCGCCCGCGGTGAGAGACCACCCCCTGCGTGGTGTCGAGAAAGTGCCACGCCTGCTAGGCCCTGCGACATTGGCGCGTATAGGCCCGCGGTGAGAGGCGGTGTCGAGAAAGTGCCACGCCTGCTAGGCCCTGCGACATTGGCGCGTATAGGACCGCGGTGAGAGACCACCCCCTGCGCACCCCCTCTGGTGTCGAGAAAGTGCCACGCCTGCTAGGCCCTGCGACATTGGCGCGTATAGGGACCGCGGTGAGAGACCACCCCCTGCGCACCCCCTCCGGTTCGAGAAAGTGCCACGCCTGCTAGGCCCTGCGACACTGGCCGTATAGAGCCCGCGGTGGGTGACCCCTGCGCACCCCCTCCGGTGTCGAGAAAGTGCCACGCCTGCTAGGCCCTGCGACATTGGCGCGTATAGAGGACCGCGGTGAGAGACCACCCCCTGCGCACCCCCTCCGGTGTCGAGAAAGTGCCACGCCTGCTAGGCCCTGCGACACTGGCGCGTATAGAGCCCGCGGTGAGAGACCACCCCTGCGCACCCCCTCTGGTGTCGAGAAAGTGCCACGCCTGCTAGGCCCTGCGACATTGGCGCGTATAGGGACCGCGGTGAGAGACCACCCCCTGCGCACCCCCTCTGGTGTCGAGAAAGTGCCACGCCTGCTAGGCCCTGCGACATTGGCGCGTATAGGGACCGCGGTGAGAGACCACCCCCTGCGCACCCCCTCCGGTGTCGAGAAAGTGCCACGCCTGCTAGCCCTGCGACATTGGCGCGTATAGGGACCGCGGTGAGAGACCACCCCCTGCGCACCCCCTCTGGTGTCGAGGAAAGTGCCACGCCTGCTAGGCCCTGCGACATTGGCGCGTATAGGGACCGCGGTGAGAGACCACCCCCTGCGCACCCCCTCTGGTGTCGAGAAAGTGCCACGCCTGCTAGGCCCTGCGACATTGGCGCGTATAGAGACCGCGGTGAGAGACCACCCCCTGCGCACCCCCTCTGGTGTCGAGAAAGTGCCACGCCTGCTAGGCCCTGCCACATTGGCGCGTATAGGGACCGCGGTGAGAGACCACCCCCTGCGCACCCCCTCCGGTGTCGAGAAAGTGCCACGCCTGCTAGGCCCTGCGACATTGGCGCATATAGAGACCGCGGTGAGAGACCACCCCCTGCGCACCCCCTCCGGTGTCGAGAAAGTGCCACGCCTGCTAGGCCCTGCGACATTGGCGCGTATAGAGCCCGCGGTGAGAGACCACCCCCTGCGCACCCCCTGCGGTGTCGAGAAAGTGCCACGCCTGCTAGGCCCTGCGACATTGGCGCGTATAGGGACCGCGGTGAGAGACCACCCCCTGCGCACCCCCTCCGGTGTCGAGAAAGTGCCACGCCTGCTAGGCCCTGCGACATTGGCGCGTATAGAGCCCGCGGTGAGAGACCACCCCCTGGGCACCCCCTCTGGTGTCGAGAAAGTGCCACGCCTGCTAGGCCCTGCGACATTGGCGCGTATAGTGTATGATGCGTGTGCGTTTATATCGGGATGTGTCTCATGTGGGTGCCCACTATGTCGCGCACACGCCTCAATGGACGCTGCAGTGATCACGCCAGGCGCGCACTAGCGTTGTATGGTGTGTGTGTGTTGTGTGCGAGTGTGTGCATGCGCGCGGCCGTATGTAGACGCGTGTTTCATGTACTTTCCGTGCACGCGTTGAGCGCGGGTGAGGAGAGGAAGGAGGAGAGAGGAGATGAGGTTTGAGGTGAGGTGAGACGCGGGTGCGCGGCGGCAGGGAAGAAAACCAGACGAAACATGTGGGGAAAAAACAAAACGCAGCCGAAGTTCAGCAGAACAGCGCTCAGGTCCAGCCCTGGCCCTTGGAAAACGACGGAGCCATTATTTCGTCCCGTTTGCGCTGTGCCGTTTTTTCCAGTCCCTTTCCGGCTCCACAGCCGTCTTGTTTCCAGCTCCGGCTCCGAGCTCCCTCCCGGAGCCGTTCATAAGTGTTCCGCTCCGGTGGACTTTTTGGCTTGCCGCGTTCCTTCTCAAGCTCGAGACCTGTGGAGCCAGTGGAGAAAAATGGCCCTGCCGCTTCCAAGAAGAGCCGCCATGGGGCTCGCCCGCAGGGGGGTCGCAGGGAGCAGAGCGTAACGTTGCTCCCATCGTACTTAACGGCCACGTCCCAGAAATAATTTCGAGCACCCGGAAAAAAAGTGTCGAAAGAGTGTCGAAGCAGTGTCGAAACAGTGTCGGACGAGTGTCTCCCAGGGCCCGACACGCGAAAACCCTGGAGTTTGGGGGTGCTTTTCTGGTGCTCGAAATTCTTTCTGGTGATCGAGGCTAGAGTAGGTTGGAATATCATAAGCAGAGCGGTCTTTCCTCGGTCGAAGGACGCCAGCGACACACCACCTGCACCGACGTGGGGCCAGGCTCTCCCTGGCCCCAGCATCGGCGCACACGCCCTCCTGGCTTCGGCAAGCATATGCGCCGATCCTGGGTGGCCCGGCCAGGATCGGTGTAGGTCGATGTGTACATACATACACACATACATACATACATACATACATACATACATACATACATACATGCATGCATGCATACAGACAGGCAGGCAGGCATACATACATACATACATACATACATACATACATACATACATACATACATACAAATATACAGTTATACATACATACATGTAGATGAACATATGTATACATGTATATATGTATAGATGTATACCATATATACATCTCTATATAGGATGCCCTCCGCAATACTGACCCAAAATCCAGGATACCCGCCGCGCCAGCGTTGGGGGATAAGCTTTCCAGCCGCCCTGGGACAAGCGCCCCCTCAGTGGCGGAAGGCTTGTTCGATGCGGGCGTGCGTCCGCTGACGTCCGCTGACTTCCGCTGCCTCGCTGGACGCGACAGGCGCCCCCGAACTACGACAGTCAAGCACCGCACGCAGCCAAATAGGATAAGCTTGGGCCTGTCCCCCTACAGGCGGATTTTGAACGAAAATCTTGTAAAAAAACAACAACAAAAAAAACACACGTGGTCGAAAATAGTTGTTTGCATTAGCAAAACAACCAAAAACGATGTTTGAAAATTCCTCCTGTAGAGGGACAGGCCCGATTTATGAAGTAGGAGCACAGGACACAACACCGTGGCCCCATCTCGTGGGCGAAGAAAAACATATTCGCACCCGCGGCTTCGCGGGCCGGGCACCCCCGGGGCCGCGACCCGGCGGATGCGGGGTGTTCTCTTCGCGGCTGCCCCGCGCGGAGCGCGTCCCTGCGACCGCGTGTCCGCGGGCTCCCGCCCCGGAATCCAGACCTCAAGGGCGTGGGGCTGCGGTCGGACTCGAGTGGACAGGACACGCGCGAGGACACGAGACCCTTCCGGGGTCCGCATATCGCCACGGGAATGTGGGAAGCATGGGTCGCGAGACACAGGACGCAAGGGTACCCTTGATTGGGCAGGGTCGACCTACTTATCTGTGCCGACTGTATGGATACGTTCGCCGCTTGTGACAAATCACTGTTCCTGATTAACAGGAGGCGCGGTGTGGAGGCTGGCGCTGAACCCCCAACGCCCTCGATACTGGCGAACGGCGACGAGGCCGCCGCAGCCGTCGGATGCCGCGCTCTCCCAGCTTCTACGCGAGGGAAGCAAAGACACGGGGCGAACGCAAGACGGCATGGCCACCTCGCGAGGCGGCTCACGCAGGTCGCCAGCGTGACACACCGCGTGAAGCAGAGAGGGCCTACGCGCCAGCATTCGCAGGCAGCTCACGCGCGCATGTCGGCGCAGTCCACCCTGGTCTCTTCGGTCGCTCACGCGCGACTGGCTCTGGGAGCCCTGCACTCAACAGAGCCAACGCCCCCAGACGTCCATCGACATGGCTTCTTCCCTGCGCGGCCCCAAGGGGTCCTGACCCCCTCCCCGGGAGGCCAGCTTTACGCCCCAGGTCCGATGGCCCCAAGGCACGGGAACGGGCCCCCGGGGGTTGGCATCGAGGAGCAGCTCCCGGGTTGAAAAAAAGACATCGTCGGAGATCTGGGGTTTTCTTCAGTGGTCACATGGTTCGCAGAGGCCTCCTCGAGGCGGTCCGAGAAATGGGAACGGAGGATCTCGCCGCATCGCCGATACATCGGCGATGCATCGCCGATGCATCGGCGATGCACTGGCGACGTCGGCGGTGTATCGGCGACGTCGGCGTGGAGAAAATTAGACCCCACACCGAGCCGCATCGCCGATGCATCGCTGGTGCATCGCCGATGCGTCGGCGCAATCCTCTGACCTACTCCGACCCCATCGAGGAGGCCTAGAGCTTGGGGGTCATAACTCCGTTCTCTGGCGGACGTTCAGGACGATCTGGGCACCCCCTGGTGAGCTCTCGTCGAGGCGCAGCCGCTGGAGCGCGTGCCGGGGTTGGAGAACCGCCGAGACCTGACGCAAACGCCAGAAAGCATCGAACCTCAAGACTCGCGGTGGGCCAGGGGTCAAGAACCGATCCCTGGACCTCTCCTGGGGTGCGTTCTGGCCAGAACTTCGAGGCGGGTCCGGCCGTGGCCACGAGGGAGCCCCGGGCTCGGAAAACTGCCGAGGACGGACGAAACCATCCGAAACGCCAGACCCTCGAAGCGACGAGGGCCACCGACGTCTTTGAAGGGGCCCTGGGACACACAAATAAATACACACAAATAAAACAAATCCCCATATGTTCCTGTATTTTGTGGGTTTCTGTCTTCCCCTCCACTTCCCATACTTTCCCAAATTTTCTGGGGAATCGTCGATTAATTGTGTCTGTGTGTTTTTTCCCCTCCTGAGTCTTGGCCAGACGTCAGGGGGGACGACCAGCGCCGGAGGCGCCGCCAGGGGGCCCCAGCGCGGAGCCAAGAGATCCGCGCGGAGCTCCCAAAAAATCCGCCGATCCGGCGTGTGAGTTCTGAGAGCGTGGACTTGAGCTCGCTCAAGCTTCGCTCTGCAGGGGGGGGGACGTTATTTCCGACGTCATTTCCGACGTTTTTCGGTACACGGGGATATTTCCGACGTCAATTCCGACGTTTTTCGGTACCCGGGGACAAAGGGGTATAGAAAACTCCACTTCCGGAGCACCCCCCGGATCGGCGGCACTGGCCGGAGGCCAGCCATGTTTATGGCGATCTTTTTCTCTTCGGCAAACGGCGAGTGAGGTCGATACATCCCGCCCCCTGAGCCGATCCCCTCTTGAACACTGCCCCCGAGCAAGGTTCCAAAATCTGACCCTGGACCTCCCTGGGACGTCTCCTGGGGTGCGCTCTGTCCAGAACTTCCTGGCCGTGGCCACGGGGGCGCCCCAGGACGATCAAACCCTTCCAGAAATAGAGAGGTCTCCCACATGGGGTCCGCATAAGTTGACGGTGTCAGAGGACCGCGCCGCATCGCTGATGCATCGGCGACACATGGGCGATACATCGCCGATGCACCGGCGATGCACCGGCGACGCCGGCGTGGAGAACGTCGGGCTCCACATCGACCCGCATCGCCGATGCATCGGCGATGCGGCGCAATCCTACGACCCCATCTACTCCGACCACCATCTAGGAGGCCTGGGATCCTCGATCCTCGAGCCTGCCCCCCCCCCCTACTGTTAGGTCGGGCATGTCCCCCTACGGGCGGATTTTGGACGAAAGATGAAGATATTCAGAGAAGGCCCGAAATAGCCAAAATACATGCTAGAAAGCTAGTCCCCAGACTATTTCTTGACCATTTGGGGATATTCCTCCTGCAGAGGGACATGCCCGACTTCAGCCTATAGGATCCTCGAGCCTCGAGCCTGCCCCCCCCCCACCCCACACTGCTGAAGCTGCCCCGGTCCTGGAGCATCCGCCGCACGGCGGCCTCGAGGTGCGCCTCGCCGAGCTCGCGCACGCCGTTGCGGGTGGAGACGATGGTCCGCGAGCCCGACTCGCGGCTCGTGACTATGAAGCTCCTTGGACACGCGCGGGGCTGGAGGACCGAGGCTCCAGGCGCTCGGGCGCCTTCGTGGCATCTCTCGGCGCGGGCTTCCACCCGCGGGGTGCCTCCTGGCGGCTGCGCCTCGCCGAGACCGTCCCCAGGGTGCCCGGATCGCCCCGAACGGCCGCCAGATCTGGGGAGATCATGGCCCCCGGCATGATGTCCCCCCCCCCTCCCCTAGCTTGCCATCGCTCGGACGCGTCCATGCCCCGTGTGTGTCCTGGTTTCGCGCGTGCCTCTTCGCCAGAGGCCCTGGGATGCTCCACCGATGGCCCCCGCCGAGGAAAAAAACTAGGGAAACAAAAAGTTGCATAAACATAAAAACTCGGAGGTCCGCGCGGATTTCTCGGAACGGCGCTGGACCCCCCTGGAGGCGCCTCCAGCGCCGCCCCTGGGGCGCTCCGCGCGCCAGGGAGGGGGGTCCAGCGCGGATCCGAGAAATCCGCGCGGACCTCCGAGTTTTTATGTTTATGCCACTTCCCCTAAAAACACGCACACGCCCGAGCGATGCCAAGCTAGGCCCTGGTCCCCCCCCCCCCTCTTGGCAGCCCCTGATCGTCGAGCACCGCGCTCCCGAAGGCCCCCGATCGGCCGCAGGCCGGGACCGCGCCGCCGCCGCACCTCCTCCCCTAGGGATCTGGGGCCCGGGGGCCTAGGCGAGGCGCGTCGGGAGGCCCTCGCCGCCCACCTCCTCCAGCAGCGACGTGTCGACGCCGTCCGCCTGGCCGCCGCCGCCGCCGCCGACGACGCCCACGCCCAGAGGCCTCTCGAGCCACGGTCAGACACTTCTGCACGCACTAGGGGCCCGGCCACAACAAACCTTCCACAAGAAACCCGACCCTGAGGCCCCAGGACGTCCATTGATGTTTGGTGTGGGAACGTCACGCTTCCCATAGCAAAACCATCGAAACCCAAGAAACCCGGGGCACCCTGGAGGCAAGCAGGATGTTTCTTGGCATGGGTTTCCACTGTAGCGTGTAGCAAAAAATCGTTACGTCAGGGATCGGGGTCTGGAGGCCCCCAGAGGCCACAGAGGTCCCCAGACGGGCAGGGAAGGGCCGAGGACTTCCTCGATCCTCGACGGCGGGTCGGCGACGGCGACGGCGACAGCGACGGCGGCGACAACGGCGACGGCGACGGCGACGGCGACGGCGACGGCGACGACGACGACGGCCACGGCGACGACGACAGCGACGACGCCGGCGACCGCGATGGCGACGGCGACGAAGGCGAAAGCGAGGACGGCGACGACGGCGGCGCCGCCACAGAGGTCGGGTCCGCCCAAGAGGGGGGCCCAGGAACAATTGGGGGGGCTACCTGGACCATCATTGCCCAAGGCCGCCCCTGAAGCCCCCCCCCTCTTGGACGCCCGATGGCTCCCGGGTCATACCTCGGGCCTCCGCAGCCGCTCGGATCCGGGCCCCCCCCGAAAGCGGTGGACCGGGCGCAGCGGCCGGAAAGCCTCCCGAGGCGAGAAAGCCTCCAGAAGCTAGCGAAAATCATCCCTTCTCCTCCTCCTCCTCCTCCTCCTCCTCCTCCTCCTCCTCCTCCTCCTCCTCCGGCACTGGCCGTAAGGCCTTCTGAATACGAACTCTAGTTCGTGAAGCGTAGGCTGCTTCGCCTCCTGTCCTTACTCTGTACGTGTTGCGGCCCAGATCCGTCGCACATCGCTTTTGCTGCCAAGAGTCGTGCCGTCGGGGGAGCCACTGAAAGAAAAATCACAATACTGAACATAACACTAGGAAGAAGAAGAAGAAGAAGAAATAATAAGAGGAAGGATACGAGTAGTAATCATAAAAAGAAGAAGAAGAAGAAGCATAATAATAATAAGAATGATAAGAAAAAGGGGGACATGAAGTCTGGGAGACCTCGTGGCCCCAGCCATGAGGTTCGCACGCCCTCCTGGACGCTCCCGAAATGAGGACCAGGAGAAGGAGGAGGAGGCGGAGGCGGCGGCGACGGAGGAGGAGGCAGAGGACCCCCTCACGAGTCGCTTCCCAAACGGGGCCAGAGTAGATGGGGTTGAAGGATCGCGCCGCATCGCCGATGAATTGCCGATGCATCGGCGACGTCTTGCGATGCATCGGCGACGTCGGCGTGGCAAGAATCGGGCTCCACATCGAGCCGCATCGCCGATGCAGCGGCGATGGAGAGCGATCCTCTGACCCCAACTACTCCGACCATATCTGGGAGGCCTAGACCTCCTAGACTGGGGAAACCAAAAGGTGCCGATACCGCTGCTCCCCGGACCTCTCCGGGGATGCGTTCTGACCAGAATTCCGAGGCGAATCCAGCCGTGGCGACGAGGGCATCTCAGGAGGCCCAAACAAGGGAAAACGAGGGAAGGGTAGCGGTGTAGGGCATGGGTCCCTCTCTGATAAGACCCCACCCACCCATTTTTTTTGGCCACCATAAACACCGGGCTGGCCAAGCGCGGAGCGCTCGGCCCAACTCCGAGGAAAACGCCCGAGGAGTGCCTGCATGCATTCGCACGCAGCCGGCCCACACCGCCCCAGGCCGGAGGGACCAAGAAAAAAACGGCGGCACACGCTGCTCGGAGCCGCCCCTCCTCCTCCTCCACTTCCTCCTCCTCCTCCTCCTCCTCCTCCTCCTCCTCCTCCTCCTCCTCTGATAGCGGACACGGGGGCCGTCGCCACACCTGCCATCGCTTGGACGTCCATTGCCCGCGCAGTGTTCGGCTTCGTGCTTGCTTTGTTTCCGCAAGATGGTCTGCAGCCGAAAGGATGATTCAGAACATCCTGATATAAGAAACCTGGGCCAGCTTCCTGGAAGCTTCTTGAAACGATGCTGGGCAAGCTTATTGGTTGTTGCTGCTAGGGCGAACGTGCTCAAGAACCTGGTCAGCTGTCCGGCAAGTTGGTTAGCACATCTTTTCGGGACGGTTATGAGGATCATACGCTCGACGGTAGGAGGTAGGATGCTCCTCAGTAGTCCTCGCCACGACAAACACGCACCACGTCCGAACGACGCCGAGCGCACCCACGTGTGGGGAGACGGGGATCTTCTGACCCGGGTCAATCCAGACCGAGGTACCCACACCGCTACTCCCCGGACCTCTCCGAGGGGCGGCGTCCTGACCCGGATTCCGAGGCGACTCCAGCCGTGGCGAGGAGGGCCGCCCGGGAGTCTCACGACGGGGGCAACGGGGCAGGGCAGCGGCATTGTGGGGACGGCCAAACCTGTGGCCGAGAGCATGAGACCCTCCGCCGGCCAAACTGGCGAACGCTTGAGGGCACTTCGTTGCCCTCCCCCCCGGGCTGCGCAAAGAACATCTGGCGAGCGCGAAGAGCACCAGGGCACTCTCCCCGAACTGACCTCGCCCTTCTCTCGGGTCGTGCGAAAGGGGGGGTTAGCAAAGGGGGGGTTTGAGGATCAGCTCACGTAGCTGACTTTCCCAGCCCCAGCGCCTCCCGGCGCCGGAGGCGGCTATGCATCGAGGAATGGGCCCCTCAGTGGGGCCGAAGCCAGCTGCATGCAGCAAATTTCGCACCCCCCCCCTTTCCCAATCCCCCCCCTTCGTCCGGCCCGATTACTCGCCATCGCTTGGACGTCCATTTCCTGAGTTGTTTTCGGTTTCGTGCGTGGTTGTTTCGCCAAATGATCAAGAATGCTCCTCGACGATCCTCGCCGAAGGAAAAAATACACGCGTCCGAGCGATGCCAAGATTATCCCTCGGTCCGACCGGTACCTGTCGGCTACACGCAAGAGTGACCCTGGGTGCGAGGGACCGTTGGTGCGCGGCTTCTCGGGGGCCGCGGGCTGGCCAGACACAGGCGCGCCAGGCGCTGCTGTCGCATCGCGCTCGGCGCTCGTGCCCGCACCAGAGGTCGCTCCGGCGAGGGGCCACTCTTGCGTACAGTCGGAGCGTTGACCCAAGGAACCCTGAATAAGGAACGAGGCCCCTTCGATCCACAAGTTGGACTTCGATCTCCCATCGAAAACCAAAGCAAAACCCAAGGCGCACTGTGAAGCAAACAAGGATCACGGAGCCCCTCCCCAACGAAAAGGGTTCCTTCTTCAGGGCCCCGACTGTACGTCTAGTCGAGCTCTTTCCTCCTCCGAGCCCCGCCCCTCCCACCGTCGTGATGTCTTCACGACGTCGAACCCCAGAAATCTGGACCTCTTCCCCAGGACCGGTTCTTCGTCTGGGGCTTGTTCTGACGGTGCCGACGCCCGGTAGGGGCCTCCGGAGGCCGAAGAAAGCAACAAACCTCCCGTCGTGATTCTTGCACACCGAGAGGTGCTCTGGGACACCTGCCCCCGCCCGCCCGCCCCCTGTGATGGGCCTGTTGTCCAGCACCACCCCCATAAGTTGGAGGGGGGAAGGAGGAGAACGAGGAGGAGGAGGAAAAGGAGGACGAGGAGGAGGAGGAAAAGGAGGATGAGGAGGAGGTGGAGGAGGAGGAGGAGGAGGAGGACCGACTCCCCCTTCAGCTTATGGTGGTGGTGGTGGAAAACAGGCCCATCACCTTGCGGACGCCTCCAGCACGCCCAGAGCGAAGGCGGTATCGGGGTCCCCGCGCCGCGGCACCTCGGAGGCGCGGCGCGGCGCGCCCGCTGGCCCACGCGCCTGCCTCTCCTGATGATTCTCCTCCTCCTCCTCCTCCTCCTCCTCCTCCTCCTCCTCCTCCTCCTCCTCTTCCTCCTCGCCCTCCCCTCCTCCGCTCCTCCTCCTCTCTCCTCCTCCCCCATCCCCTCCTCCTGCTCCTCCTCCTCCTCCCCCTCCTCCCTCCTCCTCCTCCTCCTCGTCCTCCTCCTCCTCCTCCCTCTCCTCCTCCCACTAGCCTGCGGCGGGCTCGCGCACAGCCGTCGCGGCGGGCGCCCTCCTCCGTTCCTTGTCCTTATACATGCAATCGGAGCTCGACCACAGGAAACGTTCCACAAGAAACCCAACCCTGAGGCCCCAGGCCGTCCACTGATTGTTGATGTGGGCACGTCAGAAACCGAGCGGTCTCAGAAACCGACGCCGACGACGCCGCGGCTCGAATCTGCAGGCAGGTTGACGTCACGACGCCAACGTTTGTTTCTGACACCGCGCGGATCGTTCGACCTTGAACGATCGCGTTTGCCCGACAGCGTGGATCGCTCAACTTTGGCAGATTCTGCCCAATTGTCGGGGGCGGCCAAGAGGGGGGCGTCCAAGAGGGGGGAGGGTGCAAACCATGGCCGGCGGCACGTGCGCGGCCCAGGGGGGGCAAGGGACGTATTGAAACAAGGAGGGGCCCCGCGATATCATGGCCTGGCCCACACCATGATATCCCCTCCCCCTGCTAGTCATCACCCACCTTTTGTGCCGCCCTCGACCATTGGGCGGCATGCGGCCTTTGAGCACTCGTGCCGGGATCGCCGCCGGAAGCTAAGGATAATGACGAGGAGGCCGCGCGTTCCTCTCACCGGTCCTCTCCCCGCCTGGCCTGCCAGGGTGATTGAGCAGAGGGCGGCGGTTGTTTGCCACGCGCGTCGAACCACGATGCCCCCCCCCTCCTGTTAGACGTCTGCAGACGCCGCACCTCAGCCAGGCAATGTCCGCGCAACGCGAAATGAGGAGGAAGAAGAAGAAGAAGAAGAAGAAGAAGAAGAGGAATGACATCACCGCCGCTCTACTGCTCTTGCGCTTGCAGTCGTCTCCATTTTGCCGGGGGTACTTCGCGGCTCCCGCTCCGCGCCCGCATTCTGGTGATGAGAGTCCGAGCTCGATCCCCACCGTGCGCTCTGAGGTTACCTGCTGCCAGGTCGATGTAATGAGACGGGGCGGCGTGCGCCCGCCCACGCCGGGAGAAATGGACGCGGAGGAGGACTGGACTCCCAGGCATCTGCCGAGTCGACTTCTCCATAGGACTGGATTCCCAGACATCCGACGGTCCGATCCTTTCGATCCGCGCTCCCAGAGGCGCCGACTGCGCCCCCGCGGGCAGTTTTTCGCCCCCGCTCCGCTCTCGACGTGTCTCGGGGGCGGACGACGCGCCCCAGCGGCCGAAATCGAGGAAAAAACACTCCCTGATGGATGGCAGCTCGAGCACCGCAGGCAGCCTGGAAGCGGAGGAGGCCTGAACTCGGAGGATCGGGCGCGCTCCCTTCACAATTACTCAATATGAAAATACTCTCCCTCTTCCCCTGATGGCGTCCGGGTGATGGCCGCGCATTCTCCGCGTACTGTTTTTAAACACACAGGATGCCCGGGAAATCCCTGGAAACGACTCTCGCTGAAGCGCCGGCGTCATTTTCGGACCGAACGCCCCCCGCGTACTGTTTTCTTACACACAGGATTCCCGGGAAACGGGTTTTCGCCTGCGTTGTTTTACCTAACAGCGAAGACTGATAGGGTTCCAATGGTGTCAAAAGAGAGCAGCAGATGACTCCTCAGGGGGGTCGGGGCAGGACCCGGGGCGGCTGCCGTCGAAGCCCAAATCGCCTGGGACATCCTTGCAAAATCGCTCTTGGCGCTGCTAGAACTCTATTCCCGGCGTACATGTTGGATGCCCGGAGCCAACTGTAAGCCACTTCGTGCTCTTCGACTTCCCAGAACTCCATTCCCAGCGTACATTTTGGATGCCCGGAGCCAACTGTAAGCCACTTCGTGCTCTTCGAGTTCCCAGAACTTCATTCCCGGCCCACATTTTGGATGCCCGGAGGCTGAGGCGCTGAGGCTGAGGCTGACGCTGAGGCAGGCTGAGGCAGACGCTGAAGCCGGCTGATGCTCAGGCAGGCTGAGGCTGAGGCTGAGGCAGGCTGAGGCAGGCTGAGGCTGAGGCCGAGGCTGAGGCAGACTGAGGCTGAGGCTGAGGCAGGCTGAGGCTGAGGCTGAAGGCTGAGGCTGAGGCTGAGGCTGATGCAGGCTGAGGCTGAGGCAGGCTGAGGCCGCGGGAGTATGCGAGAGCGCAGCAGGCTGAGGCTGAGGCAGGCTGAGGCTGAGGCTGAGGCTGAGGCTGAGGCTGATGCAAGCTGGGGCCGAGGCAGGCTGAGGCCGCAGGAGTATGCGGGAGCGCAGCAGGCTGAGGCTGAGGCAGGCTGAGGCTGAGGCTGAGGCTGATGCAGGCTGAGGCTGAGGCAGGCTGAGGCCGCGGGAGTATGCGCGAGCGCAGCAGGCTGAGGCTGAGGCAGGCTGAGGCTGAGGCTGAGGCTGATGCAGGCTGGGGTCGAGGCGGGCTGAGGCCGCAGGAGTATGCGGGAGCGCAGCAGGCTGAGGCTGAGGCAGGCTGAGGCTGAGGCTGAGGCTGATGCAGGCTGAGGCTGAGGCAGGCTGAGGCCGCAGGAGTATGCGGGAGCGCAGCAGGCTGGGGCTGAGGCAGGCTGAGGCTGAGGCTGAGGCTGATGCAGGCTGGGGCCGAGGCAGGCTGAGGCCGCAGGAGTATGCGAGAGCGCAGCAGGCTGAGGCTGAGGCAGGCTGAGGCTGAGGCTGAGGCTGATGCAGGCTGAGGCTGAGGCAGGCTGAGGCTGAGGCCGAGGCTGAAGGCAGACTGAGGCTGAGGCTGAAGCTGGCTGAGGATGAGGCCGAGGCAGGCTGAGGCTGAAACTGAGGCAGGCTGATGCTGAGGCAGGCCGAGGCTGAGGCTGTGACTGTGACTGCCGTTGTCGCTGCGACTGTCATCGCGAATGCGACTGCGACTGCGAGAACAGCAGAATTCTACAACTGGATTCTGAGTTGAATCTTAAGGGGAATGCTTCCAGATATGTTTCTAGACATCGCTGTTAGGTTGCTTTGCCGGGGTAATTCTAAATGATGCTCTCGCTGAGGCGCCGGCCTCATTTCTGCTCCCGAATCGTTCCGAATCGTGTTCCCGCTGCAGCGTGGGCCTCATTTTCGGATCGGTGTTTGGCCTCCGTCGTTCAGGATGGCGTTCTCGCCCCAGCGCGGGCCTCTTTCTCGCGCGCCCATCCGCCCGCCACCACCGCGCCGCACCACAACCACCACCACCACCCACCACCACCACCACCACCACCACCACCACCATCACACAACAACCACCATCACCACACCACCACCAGCACCACCACCACCACCAGCACCACCAACCACCACCACCACCACACCACCACCACCACCATCACCACCACCACCAACCACGCACACACGCACGCACGCACGCACGCGCACCACCACCCACTACGCACGCGCGCGCGGAGCCACAGGTCCGCTACGACACGCGTCCGCGGATAGAGAAAATCAGCGCCATGGTAAGGGATGGGAGGGAGGGGTAGGACGTCAGATATGACGCGAGCGCACCTAGCTTGCCTCCCTCCCCTCCCCTCTCCGCAGGGCGGGGAGAAGAGGGAGACGGCACGAGGGAGGGCGAGAGGATGAACAAGGAGGAGGAGGAGGAGGAGGAGGAAGAGGAGGAGGACTGGACATGGAGGACCAGGCGCCCCCGCGGCACCGGCCCGATCCAGCTGACGGTGCACCGCCCCCCGCGCAGCTGCTTCAGCACCCGGGTGGAGTTGGCGCCGTTGCCACCGAGGACCTCGCCGCGCGCGGGCCACGCCTATGCTTATGTCGGGCGTGTCCCCCTACAAGGGGATTCTCGACCCAAAAAGGTGAAAAAATACTCCGAAAATAGTCCCCCGACTATTTTTGGAGTATTTTTTGATTATTGTTTGAATATTTTTGTTTCGTAAAATCCCCCCTACAGGGGGATTTTCTCAGAAAAATAGAAAATACACCAAAAAATAACCCCAAAAAAGGTCAAAAAAATAGTTCGAAGATAGTCCCCAGACGATGTTTGGACTCCTTTTCTACTATGTTGGGGGTATGTTTTATTTTTCGTCGGAAATCCCCCTGTGGGGGGACAGGCCCGATTTAAGCCTCTGCGCACGGAGAGCCCGCCGCCGCCCCAGCCGCCGGGCCCGAGGAGCGGGGCCCGAGGGCCCAGGACCGTGGGCTCGAGGGCTCGAGGTGCGCGTTTCTAGGTCGGGCCTGTCCCCCACACAGGGGGACTTTGAGCGCAGAATTAGAAAGCAGTCAAAAAATACTCCCCAAAAATGCTCCAGAATGATCAAAAAATCGTCCCCAGACTACTTTTAGAACTATTTGTTGAATGTTTCTCCTGTAGAGGGACAGGCCCGACTTACGGTTTCCGGACGCATGCGAAAGGTGCTCGGCCGGTCTCCCATCCCCGGGGGACGCCCTCCGGCGGCTGCGCTGGCCGAGCGTGTGTCCAAGGCTGCCCAGCTCGTGCCCGAAGAGCCGCCAGAGAGTCGAGCGGCGTGATTCATTTCATCCGGGTGCTTTTTCGAGGAGGACCCGCCAAGCGGAAGCTCCCGACCGTGCCCAATCGAGGAAGAGGCCGCGACGGACGGGACCTCCGGGCCGCGGAGTGGGCACATCAAAGCGCTGATGTCTGGGGACCAGGATCGGGGCCCGAGCATCGGAGGCTCGAGGGTCGAGCATCGGGGGTTGCAGCACATCGGGGTTCGAGGACCGAGGCCGCCGCCCACAGACGCTCGGGGATCGAGGTGTTTGCGGACCGAAGGCTCTTTGGGCACTCTTGACATTCGGGCCTCCAGAAGCCTCTGGCTTGGCTTTGGCGGATTTCTCGGCGTACACCGCGTCCTCGGTTTTCTGACTCATGTCCGCCGCGGATGCCCCTGCCACCCCCGTGGTAGAGGAAAACGCGAGCCCACCGACGTCTTCTTTGCGGCTCACACCCTCCGTGATCAGGCCGCCCAAGGCTGAAAGATCCCTGGGTTTTGCTGGAGCTGTTTTGCGCTGCTATCGTCCTCGTTCTCAGACTCGCAGAGACCGCCAGGTGGCGGGGGAGGACCTCCGGGGACCGCCAGGTGGCGTTGAGGTCGTCGTCGTCGTCGTCGTTGTCGTCGTGGCGTTGAGGTCGTCGTCGTCGTCGTGGCCGCCGTCGCCGTCGCCGTCGCCGTCGCCGTCGCCGTCGCCGTCGCCGTCGCCGTCGCCAGCAGGGCGCGAAGAGGCGGCCCGGCAGGGCGTGGGCGCACGCCGCGCGCCAACCATGGGCTCCTCCTGCAGGCCGTGCAGGGCCCAGCACGGGCGGACAGAGCAGGGGAGGAGGAGGAGGGGGAGGAGGAGGAGGGGGAGGAGGAGGCGGAGGATCAGGAGGAGGAGGAGGAGGAGGAGGAGGAGGAGGGCGGAAGGGAAGCACCCCCTGCCATCGAAGGGCGCCAGAGGGTGCGACTTCCCCACCGGGAGTGGGGCAAGGCGCCGGCAGAGGAGCTCGAGGAGCCAGAGGAGGAGCGGCGAGGAGGCGAGGAGGAGGCAGGAGGTGAAGGAGCCGCGGAGGAAGGAAGACGGGGCCAAGCTTCCTCTCCGCCCCCTCCCCGAGATCATGAAGGCCTCCGGGTCGACGAGGACGAACTCCTGAAGCTCGGGGCACAGGCGCTGGCGGCCGCCTCCGAGGAGGCCAGGGTGGTCGCAGGGCGCCGCGAGGAGAAAAAGCGGGAGCAGGCCCGGCAAGGAGGCAGGCCGCAGGGGAGGCCAGTCCGCACAAGGCGGGCTGGGGCTGGACCCGCTCGAGGGAGCTGGAGGCAGGAGGCCGCGGGCGCCGACGGGGAGCGCGCGAGGACCACAGCGAGGATACGGCTGGCCCGCGAGACAGGCTGGCCACGCGGCTGCACGAGGTGGCGTCCAAGCGCGGGATGGCGGCCAAGAGCGGCGGCGCGCGGCGCGCGTGCCGCTCGGCGGGGTGCGGAGCGTGCTGCCCGTGCTTCGCCGTCCGAAACGACGGGCACGTCGTCGCCATCGCCGTCGCCGTCGCCGTCGCAGCCCTGACCCTCTTCCTGCTCCTCCTCCTCCTCCTCCTCCTCCTCGTCCTTCTCCTCCTCCTCCTCCTCCTCCTCCTGCTCCTCCTCCTCCTCCTCCTTCTCCTCCTCTTCCTCCTCCTCCTCTTCCCTCCAGCTAACTCCCACTTCTCCTCGTCCTCCTCTTTCTCCTCTTCCACCTCCTCATCCTTCCTCCTACACCTCAACTTCCTCCTCCACCTCCTCCTCAAACGACATACCGTTCTCATCCTTCGCCTCCTGTGTCTCCTCCTCGTCCCTCTACCACTACTCCTCCTCCT